GTAGGAGGCAGATGATAATGCACCAATAATGATAAAATGATCTGAGTAATTTGGTCAGGGTCACAGAGCTAAGAAGGGAAGGAACCAAGATTCACACTCAGATCTAAATAAAGCAGGAAATGCTGGGTCCCAGAGGTGGTTGGTGGAGAATAGTCAGGCAGGATATGAAGTGAAAAGGTGCTTGTGCCTACAGCTAAAAGTGTCATTCTGGTAGCAGCTGTCAGGAAGGAATGAGCCTATGGGTGGAAAGTACAGAGGGAAGGGTCTTCCAGTACAGGAAGCCATGGAGGAGAAACAGACAAGGAAACCCAAGGGGACAAAAGGGTTGGATAAATGCTGTGACAGGAAACAGGAGACAGGAGGAGGCTCAAACCCCAAACTGAGTCCCTGGAGAAGAGGATAGACTGAGACCTGCAGCATAAAGTAGGAGTGAATCAGACAGGGGTGAGGTGGTCAGGAAGGGCATGTCCTGGCAGAGGGTACAGAACAGAGACCCTGAAGTGGAAGAGATGGTTTTGAAGAACCAAAGAGAATTCAGTGTGGCCAGGGCTCGCCAACAGCTGGCACGGAGGGTGGTTAGGACAGCGTGAGGTTGGGGAAGTTGCCAGGGTTACAGCAGGCAGGGCCGGGCCGAGTGATTCAGGGAAGATGTTTCTTATTTGTAAGGTGCTGCTCCTGCAGGGAGAGGAATGAGCTGGACACAGTCCTCTTGGTACTGGTTCTGCAATTTCCTATGAATCTACCATTATTTTTAAATAGAAGTTAAAAAACAGTGGGTGTCTCTATAGAAATTATAGATCTTAAGACCTAAGTAAGTTGTAAATGTTTACCTCCCCTACAAATTAACCAGTTATTAGTTCGATAAACACGTACTGGTACTTGCTGGGCGCCGGGCAATGTGCTACTGGCAGGGGACACAGTGGGAACTATGACAAGACAGACAAACAATGACACCCCTCACAGAGACTATATGCTAAGACAGATGATAAAGATAAATAGTGAGCTCTGAAATATGACACTATTAAATAATGATGGAAGGGGTCTGAAGAAAAGGAAGCTTTTAACACTCACCCAGATTTTGAAACAGCTGTGGGCCTCCCCTTGCTAGACAGGTTTAGCTGCTTTGGAAGATGCTTCAAGAAACACGCAAATCACACTGGGGAGCAAACCAGAAAAACCAGCCCCGGGACCAGGAGAAGAAAAGAGCCTGGTTACCCTCCACACCTCAGGTAGCTGGCCTGTGGCCATCCCTGGGCCTTTGTCCCTGCTGGTCCCTCTACCTGCAACGAATTTCCCAGAAGGGAAGCAGGCACCCCTACTCATTGCACACTCATTATGTGCCAGGCACAGCTCTGACACTGGACATGGATTGTATCATTTCATGAGTCCCTGTTTCCACTCTTTATACCCTGAGCTGTGGTGACTGTGTCCAGCTCCTGGGTTAGCCTGGGGACCAGAGGCAGCATGTATCTCCTCCACATTGGTGTTCCAGTACCCAGTCAGGTGCTGCCAGAGTGGGCATTCAGAAAATGCTGGTTATATGAACAAGGAAATGGAATCTGATTAAGCAAGAGTGAGATTTTCCTGTCTTTCTCTCTTCCTAAAGACACTGTTCTTGTATACCATGGAGCCTCAGATGGAACAGAGGCCAAGTGTCTGGAATTATCCAAGGAGGCCTGGGCCCAAGCCAGGGCACCCCAAACTTCAAACAATTTGAGCTTCATTTTTGGCCACTGTTGACAGTACTAAGGATTGAACCCAGGGCCTCATGCATGCTAGGTAAGCACTCCACCACTGAGTTACATCCTACTTTCTTTTACTTGCTAAGTCATGAGGGATGGCCTCAAACTCATGATCTTCCTGCCTCAGGTTCTTGAATAGCTGGGAGTATAGGTCTTGTTAGTAACAAAATAGGTAAGGGTTGGGCAGTACACACTCTGGGGGATGGAAGAGCCCATAGTTCCAACTCTAGGATAGAACAGTTGAATGACTGCCCCTCACCTCCCCACCTAAGGAGTGTGGTGGCAGCTATGGGTATGGATGTGCCACCTGAACTGTGTACACTGGTCCTTGGGACTTCTATGCCCTTGGTGTGATTCAGGATTAGCATCCAGCCAAGTTAAACTGGAATTCGCAAGTATGTCTGAAACCCCTCTGATTCTGAGAGAGAGCACTGGACTTCTGTGGCCAGAAAAGGCCAATACTGGTCAGCAGCAGCACCTCTGTGCCCTCAGTCGTCTCATGTGCACGGCCGGTCCATAGCACCCAAGGCAGGAGTCAGGGTGCAGGAGTAGCTCCCAGCTCCGGGAACCTGCTGGGGGTTTTGTCCCTTGTAAGACACCAAAGAACTCCAAGAAAGGTTCACACCTGACCCAGAAGAGCTCCTACTCCAGGGAATACCACGCGCAGAGTGAGAACCACCATCCCCATCTCTAGACGGCACAAGCCTAAACTGGGATGGAGGGATTATTCTAGAAAGGGACCTCATTCTGTTGTTCTACATTATGACTTTTGTCTACCAGCCACGTTATCTGTCTCCAAAGAAAATGCTGACAGTCACTCTTGTCAGTTGTGGGGGGAGTCATTCCACAGAGACGTGTTCTCAGTGCAGCAAGCGCCCATGTGGATACTCGATAAACTTGTTGACCAACAATGCAGTGGGATTTCTTCTTGGGGAGACAAAATTCTAAGGCCAGCACTGGAGGAATTAAATATGTTCATATCATCCCTGAAAATCCCTTTAATTGTCTGAAAACTGCATGACCCAGGCCTTTAAAAGATCCCATACGAAAATAAACATCTTTGTTTGCCAGCTGTGGCCGTCTCCCCCTTCGGAGTAGTCAAGTGAAGGTCAAGGTCAAATTAGCTAGGAATGCGTTTGTATGTGCGCAAGGCAGAGTGAGTGTGTGCGGAGTGTGTTTCTCCTTTTTCTGGTCACAGTTGAGTTTTTATATGATTCTGCATGCAAGCAAATAATTAATAGAGAGATGGCTACAGTGTCTTGGAAGGAGACTAACTGTTCTCAGCCAAGGGCAAGGAAAGCATTTCGTTCAAGAATGGTTTCTAACACACAGAGCTGCAGTGATGTCCTTAGTCAGAACTCCAAAGTTAAGTTGAAAGGTAAAACACACACACACAAAACAGAGAGAGAGAGAAAGAGAGAGAGAAAATCATGAGATGCTTCTAAAGGGAGGATTCTAGTAGCACAGAATTCCTTGCTCCCTTCCCCAACCCCCAGCATTGCAAAAGAGAAGCCCACTCATTCTACACCTCTATCTGGAGTGCAACTGGAAGCCAGGGTAAATGAGGCATCTCAGGAGTCTCCATGGCAACTGTTCTAACACAGAAGATCGGAGATTTTGGACAATCACATCGCACAGCAGAAGGAAAAGATGCACTCCACTCTTCCTTCAGCAGCCCAGAAAGGTGGAGCAGACTGACACCCAGCTCTGTGATGGGCGTCCACAGTTACAGAGGCTCCTTTCTTCCCCTCAGTGGGCCCTGGTACAAGTCACAGTCTCACATGGCCACACCTGGAGCTCCTCATCAGGCTTTGCTTCTTTCTGCCCTCACCTGTAGCCATTCATGCACCTTATGAAGACAGTGGAATCTCAAATGAGTCATATGTACTCCCTACCTCCAACATCCCTTTCACCAATCAAAGCCTCGACAAAATGCAATCTGCCGCTATGGCCGTCTTCTCCTCCCCCTATTTCAGCCCACACTATCCTTGATCCACCAGAGCACTGTGAGATCATGCTGCTCTCTCTGCTGCAATGCTTTTCGCCCCAGGTACTTTGCTTGGGCAACTTCATCACCAAGCCACCCTGCCCCAGCCTCCTGTTTCCACTCCTTTCCCCTGTGCTTCTGCTTTACCCATAGCACCTGTAATGGTCAGACACACTAAACCATTGCTGTTTATTCCTCTGCTTATGTCTCTGCCCATTGTAAGTGCAGTAGCACAGCTAAACATTTGCAAGGGGGTTTCTACTTGAATAACTGAAAAGTAATCCCAAGTGAATTTGCCTGGGAAGAAGGGAAGTGGCAATAATAATGGTTCGCTTGACCCAATGGTTTTCAACTGCTTTGCAAGGCCCCAGGGCCTCTTTATTCGGTGGGTCAGAGGAACCCACCTTCAAATTGTGAGAGGAAATGATCCAGTAATACCACTTCTGGATATACAACCAAAAGAACTACAGCAGGTCTTAAGAAGACAGTTGTGCACCCATGTTCATGGCAGTATTCACCCATAACAGAGGTGGGACCCCCAACTTACCGTGGACAGGTGAACACATAAACAAAATGTCATGTACAAACAACGGGATATTATTCC